TAATAGGGTATCAATCAATTACATTATTAACTAATGATAACCTATAATTTAAATATGGTAAATATAATCTATCTATATATGGTACAATTATAACGGTACTTTAGTTGTAATTTTCAACGATCTTCGTAATTTTATTCAATCTCATTGACATCCCCTTCAAATTGATGCTGATAAAAAATCAATTTGCTATCATGAACTGGCGGCTGTGACAATGTTCGTGTCCACGAAGAAGAGCTCCAAATCACAGCAACCATCCATAGAAAATAGTGACAAGAGATCTAGAACAACAAATAGTGCAGAAACAACCAAGAACTACTCCAAAGCCACTCTAGACAGCTCACAACCAAGAAGAATTTCCAAAAGAAATTCACGAAATGTGCCGACCACACACAGAGTTCTATCAGTCGGGAAAACTCAGTCGAAGATATAATTCATGCTCCGACAAAAGCTTTAACGGCCAATGCACTGACCAAAAATCCAGCAATATATCGCTAACCAAGATGCTCTAGTTGGAAGTAGTCCCACAAAACAGCCTACATAAAAAAAAAAAAAAATCCAAAGATGATCCTCCTCTGAGAATCCAAAATTCTTGCTCATCACCCGAGCATTTAAAACTGAACGATCTGCACTCTCATGTCTTCCAATCAACACCTAAACTTGAAATAATCCAATAAATCAGCAAGTCTAAACCAACGAAGTAGTAGGTCCAATGAAATTAATTTTAGCCTAAAAAAAAAAAGTCCCAAACGAAATCAACCAACAAAAAGAAAGCACAGTTTATAGCCCAATTGCTCACAACCCATAATTACCTCAGGCCATTTATAAGTTATACCCACATGTCCAAAAAGTTAAGCTCAGTGTAGTTTATGAAAATAAAGCCCACTGTAATACCACCCACATCCCAATTTTTTTACAACCCACTAACCGACCCCGATCTCCTTCCTCCAAACACCTTAGTCACACAGCTGCCATCTATAGCAACTCCAGTACCGCCTCTGGCAACTCCACTGCTAATCCAAGTCGACCCGCCGTCAACCTCTATCTTCTCCCGAAATAATCCGTTCACCTGCTAGCAGATTCCATCATCTCCGATTCCTTCCCTCACAGCATCCTTGTCGTCATCCAATTCACCCATTCAAAATTGCCCGCATGATTATTGAAACTTCAAATTTATATGCTCAGGTAAAATTCTGGTTATAGAATCATATCAGTGGAGTAATCCTTCCTTTTTCAACACGCAATTTCAAATAATTGCTCAATCCCATAAGCATCCATTAAAGTCTCCAAAACCTAACCCATTCATCAAAAATAACAAAGCCCAAAGCAACATGCCCAACCAACAAATCCATAACAATATTAAATGCAATCCAGCACTCTATTAACCCAAAATAACCAAATCCACGACCTATGATAGTCTACAGTCGAATTCAAGAAGTCCAACTGCAATAATCTGTACATAGCCTACCAAACAAGAGCCTAATAACTGCCTATTCAGAACAACCCAAATAAGTAACCTATACATCGTCTTCACCACACCAACCTTAGCCACCTTCGCCGTCGGTCAACATCCAGCACCGGCACCGCCCATCTTCCATGCTCATTCAATCCTGCACATGAAAGCCATTAGGATGCATTGGCTCTTGCCGTTGCATGTGAAATGCATAAAATTTATGGAGACTAATTGGGGCCAGAGCATGTTCCTTTTAACTGATCCCAAAAGCAGCGCCGGTTCGACCACAATCTCGCATCGACTATGCCAATACCCAAATTTGTAACCTGAACCCTCGACAGCAGAAACCAACACCGCCATTATTCACGTCTCCAACAAATTGGGTTATTGCTCCAATTGGTCAGTCAAAAGAACACAAAATCTTCTCCAAAATAACCCAAACCAAAACCTGACCACACAAGAATCTACACAGCAATAGGAACAAGAGGATTTCAGAAGCCCCCAAAAAGGAAGAAAATACAAACCTACTAGCCGTTGCAAACTAGCCAAAACAAAGAAAAACGAATTTAGTAAAGACAAAAAAAAAAAAAAAAATGGCCGAGTGAGAAACCGAAAGCCGCTCATTGGAAACGAATTCAAAGATTAATTTGTTTATGATCGAAACTATTCTGATACCATGTCAAATATAGATACTCAAATAAGACTTGATGCCTTTCGGTATGAGAGGTTCTCTTATTACATAAAAACAAAATCACAACTAAATATGATAAAAGTAATCTATCTATATATAGTACAATTATAACGGTAATATAGTTATAATTTTCGGTGATCTTCGTAATCTTATTCAATCTCATTTGACTGTCAAATATAGAAATAAGACTCGATGCCCCTCAGTATGAGAGGTTCTCTTATTATATAGAATCAAAATCANATTCAATCTCATTTGACTGTCAAATATAGAAATACGACTCGATGCCCCTCAGTATGAGAGGTTCTCTTATTCTATAGAATCAAAATCACAGCTATATATGGTAAAAGCAATATATCTATATATGGTACAATTATAACGATAATATAGTTGTAATCTTCGACGATCTCTGCAATCATATTCAATCTCATTGACAATGCGAAGTTACTTTCTGTCTTGACAACTTTTATGATGAACTTGATGTTTCACCTCGCTTCGATTCATTTTTTGTGCAGATTTTTGTTTTACTCTTTACATTAAATATAGTAGCGCTTTCTCATGATATTTGAAGTTAGTGAAAAGTTGAAAGTCTGGCAAACCTTATAGCCAACCCAAATATGGTTAACTTTGTGTATAGTTGCATCATTTTGCTGGAATCACTTCAATTTTTCCTATGCTACCCCTAAATTTTGTTCTTTTCCGTTTTATGTACATTTCAAATCAAACTTGAGCTCTTTTCAACTAAACCGCGAGGAACTTAAATACATATTAATTTAATATTTTAACCGAGTAAAAATGACTTAATTATTACATTTTCCTTTGATTTCTATTTCATGCTAACTATTATCATGTGCATTTTATAGTGTATTAGTGAAGTGGGCATTTCTTCACAAATTAAATGATATCATGTATGTTAAAGTTTACTCATCTTCCTCAATCCATGGTATCATTTCAGATGGGATCGCGTGAAACCTGCTTCTGTGTCAAATTTAATTCTTCTAAGATTCAAAGAGGTAAGCATAAGACTGGGAATTAAGTTTGTTAAATGTATGAAGTGTTAGTGTAAAGTTGCATGTGCTATTGTCCACAAAAGAATAATGCAGGACTCGTGAGGGGAAAAGAAGAGGAACGCTTACACTTTCTTCTCTTTATTTTCTTTTGGCTGTGAAACAGAAATGTGAGGACATGCATTAGGAACACGAGTATGTGCAGTTAAACTATTGAACTGGTTGATTGATTTTATACATTTAGGTTACAACCTCATAAATGGGCCACAATTTATATTCATGACTAGAATTGAGCACCTCACTCTCAAGTATCTGTCAAGTATATTTCTGACTCGTTTATAACAGGGGCAGATATTGTTTGGGGGGTGGGGGTGGGGGCAGGCCTCTCTAGATGTAAGTAGAGATGTAAAAATAATTTTTTATCCTCAAATGAAGCCCAAATTTTTGATAAGTTAAAAGGTGCACCTTTTTTTTTTTTTGATAATCGTAGGTGTATGGGTCAGCTTGCGCGCACCTCGACTAATTCCAAGAGACCCTGAGGTTTTATAATAAATATCTTTTATTGAATAAAGTTAAAAATAAATTGCTCATTTTAACAGTAAGAGATGCTACATGTCTAGCTAAGCTTAAAAGTAACTAAATTTTTTGTTTCTATTTATGTTTTTATATGTACTTATTCATATTTATAAATATATATTAACTTACTTTGATTTTGAAATAGATTTTATTGTAACTTGCTCTATATTCAATTTTCTCATTTCGTAGAATATTTGTTAAAAAATTATATACATATAAATTAATCAGGTTATAAGCATATTAATTAATTGAAGCAAGCATAGTCGAGAACTAAATCCAGTTTCTTTGGACTCTCAATATTCCATGTTGGTTTTCCCACTTCAGGTGGTATTAGAATGTGTTGGCATAGAACACTGATGACCACATCAAATAGTATTTTGGAAACAATGACATACAATCATGTATCTTTTATTGTGTGTTTTGGACAAATTTCAAATGTTTGGAACTATTGGTTGTCAAAGTTCTTTGGGACTTGTATTTAGGGAGAGCATCGATCCTATTTGACAAGAAAAGCTACAAAAATCTAGTAGACATCTTAGGGTTGACATCTAGATTCTTACTTGAGAATCTGATCACTTTATCATCAGTGTCATGGGCATAGCCTTCTAAATTAGATCTTGTATGGCATAGAGCATCTCTTATTGCATGAGTTCATTGAAATTTTTCAAAATTTCAGCCCATCCCAACGTCTTTGGCTGGCTCCACCCCTGTTTATAGGTGTTCATATTCATGCATGTACAGTTATCCATTCTTATAGTCAGTACTGGAGAATTCTTTCCCTAGAAGCAATATATTAGTTACGAAGCTAAGTTTTATTCTAGACAAACTTAATCAGCTAATTAGATCCTTTTTGGTAATTACATTCTGTCTGGACTACTACTAATTAAAGTTCCAATGATGCCAAATCTTTTGCACCTACCTTAGGTTGTGCATTTTGGCCTGTGTCTTCCTCTCAAGTGATGAATCCTTTGGGGGCATAAATTGTTCAGTTTAAAACTATTCAATTTGGAACGAGGAATGCATCTATTGAAGTTGAGTTCGAATGAAAATTGTATATAAGAGCAGCAGTTGTAAATATATTACATTCTAGCAATTCTGATTGATAATATGACAGTTTGAAGCCATATGATATAAATAAATATGAACGCCCCATAATCTTTTACATATAAGTTTGCTTTGAAGTTTTAGCTGCTACCCAGCTACTTTTATGTATTATAGTGACTAGTGAGAAAAACTATTAAAACAATCCTGAAGAATTTTGATATTATTTTGCAGGCTGATGAACATGAGTCGAGGTCTCTTGAAGATATAAAGGCGAAGGAACCTGAATTTTTCTTCAGGGTAACATCTGTGCTGAAACGAGCTGAACTGGATTTCGGTTTGTGATTTTCCCACGCTTCAGAATGCCTGGATTTTTGCAACTTAAAAGTTTTCTGAACTAAGTAGTTTGACTCGCGGGGAGTGAGGTTTGCTCCAATTGATGCGCGTTTAAAATTACAAGACAATCACTAAAGTGCAGAATTCTCAGGATGAAGAATGTTTCCATAGACGCTTGCTGCTATTTGACGCTTTCAGAGTTAGAAACAGGTGGCAACTATAAGAATAGCTTCTTCCATTCTTCTGTAAACTGTTATGTAGAAGAAAAGGTATTAAGGTCTTAGGTTTTGCAGGTGCTGAATGGAACTGAACGAGTGGGAACTTCACCACATTTACTCAGACGTAAAACTAATACCAGTTTATTGGACAACGTGATTACTCTGTACTAGTTTTGGTCTTTTGTGTTTCATGGGGAATGCTAGCTCAACTTTCGTGTTTAATCCCTAGTAAAAAGAAAGAGAGTAAATGCAAGAAAGAAACAAGTTTTTGGTTAAATAAAACAAATATTGGTTTGGTGATTAAATTGAGACAAATTGAAGTTGAGTGACCAATATGTAAAACCTGCAAGTTAAGTGACCTTTTTCCCAGCATATATCTAGTTAAAACTTTAGTTGATATGGTTTATAATTGTACCCATATTTATACAACGCAGAAGATAGTGGCACTAAAGTTTCTTCTTATACTTTATTATCTAGAAGTAGTGTTTTTCTTATCACCGGGTTGATTGTATACTGTTATGTATAATTACGATGTGCGTGGAGATTTACGATAATGTAATTTTGTTTACTTCAAAAAAAAGAATTGTAATTGGTTTTTTGAGCAACGAGTAAAGTTAAGGGACGAACAAGATTTGTAACCCTTTTATTGATAAAATTGAGGAAGAGGATGCCTTCTCGAAGGTGGTGACCATCCAATTACCACCTTCGATTAAAATTGCATAGCTTTCAAATAATAAAATTGGTGATCAGGCAATCAAATAATGAAATTTAAGTATACAACATTAATCAAGAATGCAAGAATTAAACAACTAGTTTTAAATTAAAAATAAATAATAAGTAGGTTTCATCTTTGTCTAATACGTGGGAAGATTTAGCCTAGCATGATTGTATGTAAATTACACAAAAAGTTAAGGAATAACATCATCCGAAATGGAAACAATGAAAGAAAGTAATTTTTTCTTTTTGAATATTCAAACGAAACTTCGAATCTTCAACTTATAGCATTAATTGCCCTTGAATTGTGCGTTAGACCTATTCTTTATGGTATAATATGGTGTATCATGTGTTGTGTCGTTCAAGACGGCCTTAGGTGGGTTAAATAGATGATAGAAATTTATTCTGTTAAGAATTTGATTCAAATGGTCAGCCAATCAGTTGAAATTATATCGGCGCATCTACGTTGGCAATTTCGTGGAGCCCGCGTTGGGTCTACCTTTTACTCTCGGTAAATTTTCAAGTTGGGTGCACTGGCTAGTGGCCTCACACCCGCGCCGTCGTACGAAATTTGGGAACTTCTTGGTGGCATATCTAAGTCATTTTGTCACACTTTTTCAGTCTTTCCTCTACAATTCATCCAAATGAATTTTAAAACTCTCCAATTGCCGTCAAAGTGCTCCGAATCATCTATTAGATTTGTGCAATTTAGTCCTCGAACTTTTGATTTCTTATATTTTACCCCTTTTCTGCCCTTTTCTCCAATTCCATCAATTTACATCGAGCTTTACCTAAAAAATGAAAATTATATAAAATTAATCCTAAATTAATCCAAATTAACAATAATTGACATAGTTTAATGACCCAGATAAGCGTATGTTCATCCCTAGTGCAACATAGCATTGCATTTCGATCTAATCGGGAGTCAGAATTGGTCAAAGACAGTGACCATCAAATAGAAATGCAATGTTTTGATATCAAATAATTGTCGATCACAATAAGTTTTTATACGCTTCTTGAGCTGCGATGTTTTTAAATCCTAAAAAATGTGTTTTTTTCTTTTTGATAATTTTGTTTTCGTATAAGAAAATTAAAAACATCGTATTACAAGTTCCGATAAAGTATCAAACATTCAATGTTTGTGAAAAATGATATGTTTAATATAAGAATAAAGCTATTGTGCTAGAAAAAAATGCCCACCTGGGTGACCTACTCTCACATNNNNCACCTGGGTGACCTACTCTCACATATGTGTGGGACCGACGTAGGACCCGCGTGAAATAAAAAATAAAAATAAAAAGCTCCCCTCTCCCCCGATGTGTGTGCCCTGTCACACCCTCCCTGGCATTGCAGCTTCGTCCTTAATATAAATATAAAATTTACAATTTTAGATTACAAAAAAAATTAATTCAAGCATCAAATAAAAGAGACGATATTGAAGAGTTAAATGTTATAATGGCTATTAAACTTTGCTCTACATCATGGTTTATTCATTGTACTTCACAACCCTTTCCCAGTGGCCACTTAACTCTACTCTATCCATCTCAATCACTCACCAGATGATATTCATTAGTAAATTCGCCCATGTGGATCACGGTAATATGACATGGCACGTTAAATGTTTAGTTATTGTACTCAATGCCATGTCAGCAACAACTAAACACGCCTTTTCCTTTAATCACAAATAGGGCTGTAAGAAAAAATCGTCAAACCGAAAAATCGAACCGAAATCGCATTTTAGAAACCGTCGGTTTGGTGGCACGTGGACCCGTCAACGAAATGGTTTTGAACTAAACCAAACTGGTCAAAAACGGTTTGATTTAGGTTTGAGAATTTTAATTGCGGTTTAAAAACAAATCGGACTGGTGAAAAAATATATAAAAATAAAAAAATAAAAATAATGAATTTTTTTTTTTGAAAATTCATCCAAATATGTAAAATTCAATAGTTTTGTCATTTGTGTGTATTTTTGTCAATTTATAATTT